CTGCGCCGGCGCGAGGGTTACGTGGCGCTACCGGCGTACAGTCGAGTCCCTTTTCTGCAAGGTACACCAGCACTGGGTTTGGGGTACCGATTTCTCCTGTCACGGGGGTCATGCCGATGCTTAGAGTGCGACGGGTTTGCCGGTTTGGGCGCGGTCGCGGTCCCTGGACGATAGGCCCAGGGGGGTTCCCTAGGTTGGGCACACTCCTACGGGTGTCTTTTCGCAGAGCTGCCATGACGCGTCTCGCTTCCATATAGGATGTGCATTGCGGGGCCGGGTCGCGGAGTTGCACGCCGTGTATAGCTGCACTATCTGTTCCCACGTTACTGTTGTCACAGCGTGTATTGTTGTTGATGAAATCCTGTTGCCGCTGGTGGACGGATCTTGTGCATTTCCGTCCTGTGCAGGCTGGTTCCGCAGGGTGGCTCGGCGGCGCTGGTGGGTCACTCTCCATGTCGTCTGGCTCTGCGCGGGGATGGTGTGGCTTCTCCGTGGTCGTGCTCCACACTATAGGTGTGTCGCGGCGTACATGTGGGTCGAGGGATGGTGCTAGTATCGGGTTGGGGAGACTTGATTTGTGCCGGAGACCGGTGTACGGAGGGTCACTGGGGATCTCGCGGAGGCGTCTGTCTTCCAGAGGCAGCATGGACGACCAGCGACCCTACAAACACGGAGGGGGGTTAAGAACGTTCTTAACTCGTTCTTAGCCCAGCCAAATTGATAAAATTGAATAACCATTAGAACGTTCTTACACCGTTCTAAGAACGTTCTAAGAACGTTCGTAAGGCATCCGTTTATCTTAAAACCATTCTTTGAAATTCTTTAGCATTCTTTGGGGCCCAGCAGTCTTAGGTATTCTCTTCCATTCTTTGGGGTGTTCTTATTCGTTCTTAGACCAACTTAGTGTTAAAGCATACTTAGCTGCTCTTTGGCCGGTTTTAACCATTCTTATCATAGGGTTGCTAAGTATGGCACTCGTTCTTAAGTCTCATTCTTAAGAAATAAAACCACTCTTTACCATTCTTTAGCATTCTTTAGGGCCAGCAGTCTTATGTATTCTTTTCGTTCTTTGGGGTGTTCTTATACATTCTTAGGCCAACTTATTCATTCTTTGCCTAAAGCATACTTAGCTGCTCTTTGGCCGGTTTTAACCGTTCTTACCATAGGTTCGCTAAGTATGGCACTCATTCTTAAGTCATATTCTCAGGAAATTCTTTTTGCTGCTTACATTCTTAAGCCTTAAAAAATGTGGGATTCTTAAGGGTCATGATGAAAATTCAAACACACGTTTCGACCTCTGCATTCTCACATGCACCTCTATTGGTAGGCGCCCTTTATTAGGGTATCCACATGTAGGTTATTCTTACATTGAAATCCATTTCGCGCATTGTATTGGAATCGAACCTAAGACTGCGATACTATTATACTATAATGTTTCCCTAAACCTATGCTGAACTAGACGCGGGCTGTC